AGCGCATGGGGGTAAAAGTCACTGGTGTGCACACATGTGGGAGGAGGGATTGTTTTGGGGTTCTGGGCAGCTTTCGAGGCTAATTGCTCACTTGGTAGGTCAGGGCCTGTGCAAATCCCTGGGTTCTTAAGTCCACACTTTGCTTACTTAACGCAGGGTGATTTTTCTCATTAGGGTTTGTTAGTACATTACAGTGGCAGTCATTTCACTGAGCAGAGTGAAGGATGATGGATACTTGCCTTGATATTCTTCCACAGCCGTTTGATGCACCGGGAGCCCCCGGGAGGACGCCGATGAAAGGATCATTTGGTTGGGATCCCACGCATCCTTTCCACGCTGAGTGCTGGTGATACCAACAGCCCACACAGGCGGAATGTGCGACCGAGCCTCCCCGACAAGGCCGGGGGCCACTCCAGAAACACCTGACACCTGTTAATCCTCCCCCGCAGAGGTCAAGGGCCTGGAGGCTGCTCTCAACATAGAAACAGCTGGGAGGAACAGCCCATTGAGTCCTCGATGCTGAGTCACATTAGAGACAAAGGAACTGCTCAGATTGGCCAGTTGCTGCTTCCCGGGGCTTCCTTCCTTCCTCTCTCCTTGGCCACTAAACCCCACCAGTGGCCTCAGTGTGGCCCCGGAGGCATCACTCCGGTCTTGCTCAGTATCACATCTCATCCTTGCCTTGGGCCCCAGGGCTGATCACTTTATCCTAATGTGTAATGGGGCTCACCTGACTCACCTGCCCAGGATGCCAGCTTTCTACGCTTAGAGATGCCCTTTGCTCAGACCAGCTTTGCCCCACCAGCCCTGCCTCCAGCTGCTGTGACTGAGGCCCTATCACTTGCTGATGCTCAGCCCTCCTTGCACCTGGCCATGGTTCCCATCACTAGGCCCGGCAATCTGCAGATACTCCTCCCCCTGCGTGGGATCCGGGGCATTGAGCTTGAGCTGGGTTATGCCTGGTGTTTGCCCCTATAGCCTCCTTGTTCCTATTGCTTGGCTAACTCTCAGGCAGCACCTGGGAGCAGGTGGAAGATGATCAAGGCGGGGATCCTCCCTACTTCCTCATCCTGAGCTGGCTCCAAATCAGGCCCCTTCACGCCCTCTCCCTCAGTGACTCAAGCTTGCTTTTTTATTTGTGGAGTCGCCATCAAGCTGCCCCCTGAGTGCTTGTGACTCTGGATATGTGGTCTGGGCTAAGGGAAGGCAGGGAGAAGACAGAGCTATAGACTCCGAGCCCTACATGCAAGGGCAGGCCTGAGAGGCTGCAATGATAGAGGAGGGTTCAGGGGGTGAAGAGAGAAGATGGGGCAGGAGGAGCATGTAGGACGCTGAGAAAACTGCACATTCAGAACGTAGCTGAGGCCTCACTGTGTTGTCAGCCTTGGGAAGAGAATAGATAAGTCCCCCTCCATCCTCCTCATCCCGTCCCCATTCCAGGGACCCTTCTGCTAAGGGTTCTGAGACAGATTCCCTGTGGGCCTCACAGTGTCTGGGGGTTAGCCTGGGGACCCATCCTCCCAGGTGGACATCGTTTCTGTGGAAAATGCATTCTGAATACCCGATGGCTCCCAAATGGGTTTCTGCAGTATAAATCCTGCAGAGCCAGAGCTCGCACTGTTGGACACGTGCAGCCTTGTTCCACTGGACAGGACTCCTGACGGCCCGTGACCACGGTAGCCTGTTTCCCTGCCTCTTTGCTGGCCAGTCCTACTTTTCCCAGAGTGCCCACCAGTGCTCAGGGCTCACACCTCAGTGACCCAGGAATGTGTATATTTAATTCTTCCCCATCCCGGTGATTCTAAGACACAGCCAGGAGTGGGAACTCTGATCTCCTCAATTGCTTCTTAAACTTTAGTGCGCATCCGAACCATCTAGAGCAGTGGTCGCCAACCTTTTGGAACTCACGGACCACCACTGGTTGGTGCCCACTGATCTAGAGAGCTTACTAAAGTATTGATTCCTGGGCCCCACCTTGAATTTCAGATTTAGGAGATCTGAGGCAGGGTCCACGAATTTATGTTTCTAACAAGTTCTAAGGTGAAGGACCAGCAGGTCCATGGACCACACTTAGAGTAGCCAGGGTCTGGCCCAACCTCTGAGCACAGCAGGGCGGGAATGCTGGTCACCCGGGTAAAGGCCTGTCTACGAGGGACCTGGTTCCCACGTGAGGAGAGCAACAAAGCTCAAGTTCAACCCAAGCGAGTTGCCACATGTGGGGCCTCTGCCCTGGCCCAGGCGTCCAGGGCATCAAGAGCGTCAGCCACTGTCATTGGCTGGTTCCTCATTGACTGATTGTCACTGTCGTCAGAAACTTGGCCAATGGCAATCAATCAGGGGGCCCGCGCTGCCTTAAATACCAACAGAGCAAACAGCCTTAGACAAAGCTGTGCCATATATCAATTACCAAGAGGCTGCGTGCTCCTCTGGGCGGGGGGAGCTGGAGCAAGCGGCCAGGGCTGCTGCCCCAGCTGATAAGGGCCCCGCATTGTTCGGGGACAGCTGGCGGCCCGATAAGGGCCTGCATGCCTGAGATAATGGCAGTGGGCAGGCGCCTCGCGGCAGTTTAGAATTTCTTGGGTCTCCAAGAAAGGTTCTATTAAGCCCACTGACCCCAATTGAATATTAATTAGCTAATTAACGGATTTATTGTTCCACGCCATTTCTGGAGAGGCCATTTTTTTCGAGTGCCATTATTTTTGTAAATGATTTTTTGCATTGTGCATAATTGAATCTTTGCAGCTGCCAGCATCTTCTGCATGATTTGGCAAAAAAAAGGAAGCAGAAGCACTTAGGGTTCCCCCCCCCCTCCCCTGTGTGAACAAATGTTTTCAGCCCCTCCTGCTAATGCTGGAGCCGGGGGAAGGGGGGACTGGCTCTGTTTCACAGGTTTATTTTTTAAGCTGAACTGCAAAGTCCGAACTCTTTTTTTCCTTTCTTTTGTAGGCAGCTGAGGGCTGAGGCACTCCGGGCGGTCCCGCGCTAGGCCTTTGTCTGGCTGTCTTCAAACCGGCCAGACTTAGCTTTTCTCAGCCCAAACTCCTTAAAGCATTGTGCTTTATGTTAGGGGGTAGGTAGAGGGAACAAGGCCTGAGCTTGTCCCACCCAGAGTCCCCAGTGGAGGGATGCCAGCTCGAACCAGCAGGCCAGGCCAGACACCCTGGGGGCTCTGCCTCCATTCCTGCCCTTACCTACCCCAGCCTAGCCTTCTCTGGCTGGGGCCTACCCTGGGTCTGGTTGCAGGGGTGGGGATGGGGGGACAGAACCCCACCTGGCACCTCTCTGCTGCTCTTTAATAAATCTTTGCTCCAAATTCCACGCCAGGGCTGCCTGGCTCCCTGGAGCTGGCAACTGCCCATAATAAGTTGGCCCGGACAGTCCCACAGGCAAATGGCTGATTGAATCAAGCCCATTCCTCAGCAGAGGATCTGGAATGGGGGTGGGGGTACGTACGATGGGGTGGGGCTGGTGTGCATGGCTCAGCAATATTGTCAGGCAACACTGAGGAGCCCCCAGGACCTCTCAGCCCCTTCAGCATTGTTAATGAAGTCAGGGGCAGGTGCAGACACCAGGAATATTAGTCAGGGCCCCCCACTAGGCGGGTCTAAGGAAGGCTTGTGCCCAGGACCTGCCCCTGGCCACCAGGGGCCTCAGAGCTTTATTGGGATTTTTTATTAAGCCACCTCTTCCTGCCCTCGGCCCTGTCCTATCCTGCTGCTTGTGCTCAGAAGGAATTCCAAAGGCTTTTCTGAGCAGAGAGATGAGGCGGAAAGCGGTCTTACACCCTCCTGTGCAGACACTGGCTGGGCCACGCCATCTGCCCATTTCCTTTGCTCTGAACCGAAATAAAGTCCCAGCAGACAGACTGACACGGGCATCCCCACCAGGTGCAAAAGTGGAAAGGACCCCAAAAGGCTAAGAACTGGAGGTGGCCCTTAGAGTGTGAGAGGGGGCTCATATAGCCTCTGTTGGAACACCTCCAGGAGTGGGAAGCTCATAGCCACTGAGGCAGCTTTAATAATGAGAAGGGTCCTCCTTATATAGAGCCTGCTGCCCTTCCCTATGCTTACCCCCTACTCTCCCTCTTCCCTATGACAGCCATTCAGCTAATAGCAGTAATCTCTCTACATAAAAGCCCAGAGACCGAATGGCGGAACGACCAGAATGACTGGTCAACCAATTGCTATGATGTGCACTGACCACCAGGGGGCAGACGCTCAATGCAAAAGCTGCCCCCTGGTGGTCAGTGTGCTCCCACAGTGGGAACACTGCTCGGCTGACCAGGATGAGTGGCGCTTCTACAGCAGGCCGATCCCCGAAGGCCATGCCCCCCAACAGTGCACAAATCCCATGCACTGGGCCTCTAGTAATCATAATAGTATCTAATACTAATTGAGGAACCACTATGGCCACCCATAGTACTAGGCACCTGTCATGTATCGCCTCGCTTAGTCTTCCTAATACACTGTGAGGTAGGTGGGATTCTGAGGCACAGACATGTGATGTAACCTAGGCGAGGCCACTGATGAAAGCAGTAGCACCAGACACCAAACCCCACTTTGTTAGACCTGAGCCCCAACTGTAGACCACTCCGCAGTCAGAAATGCCATGTCCCTGAGCTGTTCTTCTGCAGGGTAAACCAGCTCAGTTGCCATAGATGCTCCTCATCTAATAAGATCTTTCTCCTCCCTGCTGTCCTGGACCTGAAGTTCAGAGCCCAGAGGCGGTCTGGCCAGGAGAGAGCAGAGTGAGCCCGTCACCTTCCGCATTTCAGACACTATACTTTGTTAATGCAGCCTGGTTGGCAGGAAGGTTCTTAGCAAGGGGCCACACCCCTTTATAGCACCGTCCTGCCCTCCAAGGTTCAGACTCATTGTTTTGAAAAGGAACCAAAAAGATCAGACGTGAAGAACAAAGACATCGGAAGTAGGGCGGGCCCAAGTATGTACTACCAGCAGTTCCATTAAGCCATGGAGGACATAGGTGTTTCCGTTCCTCCGTTCTGCCTCCCTCTGTGTCAGCTTCATTTGAAGGCTGCTTTCCTTTGTGGTCCTAAGATGCTTCCAGTGGCAAACAGGGCTACCTCTTTCCTTAGTCACATATCAAAAGGACAGAAAGCCTCTCCTCCGGTCAGAGAAGGTAAGTCCTTAGCGTGATCAGAACAATGTGGATATCTATCCACCCTTTTTCATTTAGACTGACTATCCGCTCAAAGGAGGTTGGGAGCAAGCAAACACCCACCGCACAGGGTGTCTCAGTTGCGGGCTCCCTTGCTCCTCTGTGAGAGGAAGAGGGTCATACATTAGCTCTAGCTCAGTCTCTCAACCAGAATGCACTGCTTCCTGCTCAGTTTATCTGAGAGAAAGTCACCACTGCGGCAAATCCAATTCTCCCCGGAGGAGCACGTATTCCTCCCAGGATCTTGATTTTTATTTCTCTCCAATAATTCTTGGGCTAAGGCAGTGTTTAGACTCATTTCTGATCCTGCTTTCACAGGGTCCTCCATTCACAGAAAATGCCTGCCCCCCTGTGTCCTTTGGGATATTGGCACCATTCTCTATTCATTTCTCTACGAGCCCCAAATGTCCTCCCTGGTACTGGGGGGCAGAGGAGGTGGCCACAGTCCATCTCAACTCAGCCCTAACTGTTT